ACCACCAGCACCACCACCAACACCACCAACACCACCACCACTCTCAGTAGTATTAGTGGTGCTGCTGCTGCTGATGCTGCTGCTGCTACCGCAACCAACTCCTCCCAACCCTCCTGCTATTATACCACCACCTGCACCAGCACCACCACCACCGCCGTCGTCACCACTGGTAGGTTGACTGCGAATGATGATGCTACTTGAGCATGTCAAACATACGGATTTGTGAACAGTAGGCTGGCTGGTAGGCAAATGGTACTTAGTCAGTACTTGCGGTGGGTCGTTCAACAGCACCCGCGCAGTCTCAGCTAGTACGCATGATGTAAATTGTGTTCATTCTAACATGCAGCGCGCATGCATAGCGAAAGACACAGACCCGCGCAAACACACAGACACATAGAGCCATGTGTAAATGCACGCACATACGTGGATCTCTCCCTAATCGCTCGCTCTCGCTCTCGCTCGCTCTCGCTTGCTCTCGCTCGCTCTCGCTTGCTCTCGCTCTCGCTCTCTCTCTCTCTCTCTCTGTCTCTCTCTCTCTCTCTCTCTCTCTCTCTCTTTGTTGCTCTCTTTAAACTACATAACTGAAAAGTGACAAAGTATAAGTTTACATATATATATATGTATGTATGTATGTATATATATATACACCCACACATATATAGGTAGATACACAAGAATGTGCTCATTTGTGTATTGCTTGTTCATCTAGTGTAGTCAGCAGAAGCCCTTACTTCTGGAGACAAGAGCTTCCTGAAAGTTGCGGAAGGGAAGAACGGAATCAGCCCCTCGGTGCAGTTGTACATCTAATCTGCCGGTGGTGTTGTGCACAAACTGCGTGCTCCGGCAAAAGGGTTTATGAGCCGCTTCAGAATCTGGAGCCCTGGGTAGGTCCTTTGGCCGAGTGCCTCTGGCGGTACCTGAAATACTCTTCAGGAAGTCCCGGAAGCCATCACCGGCTCGCCATGCCCCGATGGCCAACTGCCCACCGAACCCGAACCCTGCGGACCGAAGACATAATAAGGATTGTTGTTGTGCTTCATCATTCTTGAGATTTTTGTGTGTTTGGTGTAGGTGATATACCCAGATTGACCCATTGATGCGAATCCTGTCTCACCGCCTTAACTCGTCATCGTCCAGCATGGCGACTCTGACTCTTACTGAAGCTCGGGTTCGGGAGAGGGCGAGTCTAGATTTCACAGCCCAGTGGAACAAAAAACCTTGGCGACAAGCCCAAGAACCGCAAGAAACAAGAAAGGCGGCGTGCCTCAGGAGAAGGAATCTGCCTAGTTTTGAAGCTTGACTACACACCCTAAATCCACAACCCTCGGGGCTTTCTCAGCGTGACGGAATTGTGTGGAGCCTTGCCTGCCTGGTGCGAGTGTGAGAGTCGAAATCCACAACCGAGTCAAGGTTCAGGAGTTGAAGAAGGCAGAGTGAGCCTGTAAACGCGGCACCGGATGATTTCAGAGGATGAGAAGTACAAGAATAGTACACTATGGGGTAAAATAGTATAGATTGAAGTATATACCGTAGTATGTATGTATGTATGTATGTATGTGTATATATATACACATATCTATAAGTATATATACATACATACATATATAGAAAAATGTATACACAAATGTATTTATTCGTTTATAAGCGTGTATATATCAGAAATGTCTACATAGACGTTTACACATGTACTTTTTAATATATCTATATACATATATATACCTGTATATGTTGTAGTATAATCTACTATGATTTTGTACACTGTTAGCTACGTCGGTTCTGCACAGCTGGCAAAGGTTCAGGAGATTCTAAGAAGGACCCTTCCAGTTAGGGCGTTGAGCTCCAAGGCTTGCATAGATTCTCTAGGACAGCTGGCGGCTGTGCTCAGTATCACCCAACCCGTGAGCCGTGAGTATGACGCTTGCGAAACTCTTCGACCCGGCCTGGTCAGGATTGGTCTGCGGACTTCGGCGGCTGTTTGGTTGACAACATGGAGGAGAGTAGATACTAGGTTTTGCATGCCAGCAGAAGAAGTGAACTCTTCCCAGACGGAGACGAGACATCGAGAAGTGCGAACATCGCTACATCCCTGGAGCAGGGTGCCTGCGGGATGGCCAGGAAGCTGCATTATCGCTCTTCCTCTTGGACAGCAGGCAGAATTTCCCCAAGCCCTCCCTGTGTCGTATATTGTAGGATTACAGGGACAGTCTGAAGACCGGTTTAATTCGCGTGCCTTGACTCCATAAGCCGCAGCCAAACCAAAGGATCCAACCATCAAGGAAGCTTGCTTACGTGTCGCACATGTAGTCCTAGACAGGCGAAATCCAACACTATCCTTTAAAACCTCCACAACCATCCCTCAAGCTTCTGTAAGAACCGAATCCCTAATCGAAGCGCGAAGGACGGCCCCAAGGCCATAGTCCCGGAGTGCGGCCTCCAAGAAGGGCTCTCATGACAGTGGCGTGCATCTGCAGGCAGACTTCGCGCATGGTTTTTTTCTGTATCAGTGTGACATACCTGTGTTCATATTCTTTGCCACCTGACATTGCGCATTTATTGTGACATGTCTATGTGTCGGCTATTGGGGACTGTGAATGATGTCCAATGCAGACTTGGTGTCGAGGGTGTTGGCTTTGTTGGGAGGTCTCTCAGTCTGGATGGTCTGGATGACCCAGTGATTCCGTTCTTGCTTTCTGTCGTCCTTTGGGGATGTGTCCGGGCCCAGGTTCAACTCCCTCGTGGCCTTCCTGGTACCTCGAGAACACTGGGTGCCGCCTCCGGTGGTCGTTTTTCAATAATGTAGCGATCAGAGGAATTGCAGCAATCTCTGCCAAGCACACCACCGTCCGTTACAAGAACATGGAGTGAATGTTCGCACACTGGCCTTTCAGAGCTATTGCTGACGCACATGGAATGTGCATCAAGGTTTCGGAGATGCAAGAAGGCAGTCCGTTGCGTCGGGCGCTCGACCAACGTTGCAGCGGCACAGCAATGGGCCGGAGTCTTGTGACAGAGGTGTCAAGCCCATGCATTGCAAATCCCTGCGAAGGCTACACCTTATTTGGTTGGCTCCACGACTACGAGCGCCGTGTCGGGAATGGACCAAGCCTTGTCGGAAGTTCGACTTACATTCCTCAAGCAACATTTCCGCCAACCGAAAGCCCTCTCCCCGCCTTCGTTCCAAAAAACCCTTCGGACCGGCACTGAAAGCAGGAGAACTTCTTGCAACCTTTCAACCGGATGCCAACCCAGGCCCTACCCGTCAGGGGCATTGAGACCTCTCGGCTCAGGGCCATTGCCTCAGTGTATCGGAAAGAAGGAGCTAGAAGAGTTGGGGGGCCGGCTTGCTAAATCTGCAGCACCCCATGGCTCTTCTACCTGCGAGTCTCCAAATCCCTTCGAATGTTCGTCGCGTTACATCCACTCAGGAATCCTGCTCCCGGCATCAGCCGCGCTGGAAAGGCGATCAGCTCTAACGGTAGTAGGGCCCAGTAGGTCAGTAGGGCGAGCTATAGTACTGCATGTTGTGGGTTCGTCTTCCCTGTAGCAAGCACTGAACCTGACATCTCATTTCCAAATTACCTTAACCTCGACAGCCCATACCTAAACTTCCAAACTCCAGCAGGAGGCCTGCAATCCTCGAATGTATCCTTGTTTATCCTAGGCTCCCAGGTCCTATCCCACGGCAAACGATCAAAAACATGCCAATGTGGGTCTCCTCCTTTCTAACTGGGCGGCAAAAAAGCCCAAAAGCTTCCAAACCCTACCCAGGTCCTCTTTGTAGAGAGCGTGCGCCAATCCTTAAACCCCATAAGCCAAACCCTAAAGCCAAAACCCTAGGAGGAAGGCCCTGGCTTCGAAAAGAGAAGCCTGGCAAACTCCAAGCCCTGAGCTCAATACCCAAAGCCCGGCCCTAAACCGTGCCTGCCTCGTGTCAGTGCGCTGGCCGCAACCCCTGAACCTTACGGTAGCCCCCGAAACCCCCGAGCCTTACGGTAGCCCCCCTAAACCCCTGAAGCCTAAGGCGCTGAACCCAAGACCTTCTATTCTGCTGGAGGCTGCGAAGTGGATCGAGTCCAACAGCGAAGCTTTGGCTGCCATGGCATGGGCCCTTTGGGCTGAGGGTCCAGGGTTTAGGGTCTAGGGTGCTTTTGCTTGTCGACGTGTTCCGTGATCAGTACATTCCCGTACCTTCGATCTGGATGGCGCAGCCAAGAAGGGGCTTTGTTCATTGAAGGTACCGGCCGGCACACTTGATAATCGATTGAACTAACCACTATTTAGGCGCTAACCTACTATAATCTACCACAGTGCTGCGCTGAATCCAGCGCGACAGCGCCGATGGTAAGCTCGCAATTAGAGCATCCACAAGGCACACAACGACCACTGGGGCGGTGCGCCATCCACGGTTTTGCACGAGCCCAGAAGTACTTCGCCACATTCATCCATTTTGCCGCCATGAGCGCTGCTTCGGACATGCGGCGCTTCAGCGGCGACTGTGCTGCATGCAACAATGTATATGCAGATAGCAGGTAAATCAGATAAACAACACCTACCAACTTAGGTCGGCCCCGAAGTGGGTTCTGGGGAAGTCTCTTCGGGCTGTTGAGGGGTGTCATCGCCATATTATCCTGCAGCTTCGGTCCTCATGTGATATGGGAGGATACCTGCTTCTGAATGCGCTAGCGAAGACGCTTAGCATCCCGTCGGAGAACCAGCCCTCTAGAAAGGGCAGAGCGTGCTCTGCTCTGCCATGGTCCCATGAGAGGCCCCGATCGCTTGTCGGAGAACCCTCCTGAACTGAGAGAGAGGCCTTGTAGGGTGTTATTTGGTGTTGTGCTACAGAGCAGTTGCCCTGCACAGGAGCTGAGCAGTACCGCGTTGCAACTACAGTTTCTGTCATGTGACGATAGCAGTATGCCGATGGCTTTGCGAAAGATGATGCAGACCCCTAGCCTGAGGTTTATTTTGATTGGTGTGCCCTGGTACAAGGAACCCTGGCTGAGCCTGCAACTCGCTGTTGAGCCCCTGCGGCAATATGACATTCATGGGACCCGATTTGCATCGTTTCGGCGTGTGAGGGTCGGAGGTTACCGGAGGTAAACTGGGTGTCATGAGGTGAGCAGCTGGGTAGACCGAGGCTCGTACCTGGGACTTTTGCCCGGGAAGAGGGAGTGACTAGGTGGAAAGGCTTTCCCAACAGCCTTGGGGCTTGAAACTGCAGCCCGAGACTAGCCCACTTTTTGGATGCTCACTTGTATTCGCGATATAAGAAGGAATTAATTATGGCACCTCTTCTTGATTCCAACTGCCATTCATGATTATTGGCTGCCCCATTCAGCATGCAACTTTCGACGGTAGTGTTCCTGTCAGCCCCGATGCTATAAGCGTCGCTCCTAAATTTCAGGCCTCGTCATCGATCTCAGATCTGCGATGTTCGTGATCGCCGTGACTTGTTCGCTGCTGGCGAGAGTCCAGAAGCCGCGTAATCACAAGAGAAGATTCTAGCAAATCGCACTGACATCACATTGCGTGTAAACCCCCACTTCCCTCGGTTTGATCTTCGGTTGGAATTTCTGTGGCATAGGCCGGCAAATCTGGGTTGTGCAGGTTCTTGTGATCAGACTTCTTGTGCATGAAGGTGTCCCTTCTCTCAAGAAGCAGACAAGAAGAGATAAAATCAAAGAAAGCGCCGAGATGCGCCGAATGACTATGTAGTTACCACGACCCTGCCTCATGGCTTTGACATCAATACGGGATTGCAGCTTGTGATGTTCCTGGCAAAAGGAGCGGCTGAATGCTGCAGCATGCTTCTGAATTGAATATGTATTCGCCGGTCTGTTATCCCGAAGTGAAAAGCATGGCTGTGGTTCATGTGTTCTCCAAGCTGACCCTCGGATGCCCAGGCTGCGAACGTAGGCATGGCGGGCCTTCACGCTGTTGCGGCGGGCTCCAGAGATGCGGCCACGCTTCTGCGGGTTGCTGCTGGGCGCCTGGGCTTCGCAAACTCGGCAAAGCTTTGGGGTAACAGCATACTTGTGTATACCGTAATTTGTATACCATAATACTATGAGCGCATGGAGCACCACAGCCGACCTGCTGAGGAGTTCAGGATAAATGGAAGGCTTCTCAAGGCTGATGGATCTCGATTTTTGCAATTAGCCCCTTACCTGTCGGGTTGCTTGCTTTGGAGAGGGCGGACCAACTCATGAACTAAACCTTGAGCCCTAAAGGGTCGAAGGCCTGGTAGCTCCTGCCGGACGGCAGGCTGGCCTGTGCATTGGAGTTCATCACCGCCACCTGCCTTATCCTTGGCCACCTGGCCCTTTTTCAGAGCTTCTTCAGGCATTCGGTTTCGAGCATTGGAGTCGGTAAGGTCTGAACGAAAGTTGAGGCTTGCCTCCGGGAGTAAGATGTATCAGCTCCCCAGTCTTTTCTCACATATTAGCCCATGAAAGTTGAATTATCTGTCGTGGTTGGCGCGAAGGTCGAGGCATCTTTCTTGAAGCCATATACCCTAGACTCAGAGAGTTCGATTCGTGTAATTGGTCTTAGCACTGGCAGCGCTGAATTCTGAGGTGGAACGGGGCGCGCCCGTTCTGGCCTCCGGACTGAGCTGGGAGGGGCTGTGAGGATCCCTATTGATTATGATTATGATTATTATTATTATGTATTCTTCTTATTATTATTAGTATTATTTTTATTATGAATAATGAGTCTAAGGCTTCTCACGGCTTGAGACTTGAGAGGACAAGGTTACACGAGGTTTGGGGATGGCTTCCGGACTTTTGAGCCCTAGAGGATCACGATGCTTTTAAACCGCAGGTCACAAGTGATTGTGAGGGTGACAGCCTTTCGCCCGCTTCAACAGTGCATGAACGAGGGATGACTACTGCAATGCACCCTCGGCAACGGCATGCCTTGCTGTGGTGCTGTTGTGATGCATATAACAATTCAAGAGTGACCTGGACGACCAAACTTGTCGGGAATAGCCTCTCGGCCAAGTGTCACCGATGTGCAAGGATTCCTGAAGCTGGACTCGCTGGATTCTTTTCCGCCTACAAGCAATCATTCCTGCTGGACTGGAAGATGAAACACATCCTGTCAATCTCATGTCAATCCCTGAATAAACAATAGCTGCTCTTGTAGGGTGCGCTATGCGAATACAACGTGTGGAGTCTATTGGGCAACCTGATCAAAGCATGTCCCACACCAACGCTTGATGAGACTCATCGGGATCCCAGTACTATAGAAGCCTAAATACATGATTACAAATACTGTTATTTGGGCTTCCTTGTGTGCTTCTTATACTGTAAAGGAGCCCAAAACCATAGTCAAGTTACTAGCCGCACATCATTCCCAGTATCCCGACCGAAGGATGGCCTTCTTGTTGTCCTGGCTGCTGGTGATTGTTGAGCGGCTCGGCTTTAGGGGTTTAGGATGGTTTAGGGGTTTTGGGGTTTAGGATTTAGGGTTTGGGGTTTAGGAGGAGGATGTCTGTTGGACATGGAACTTTCGCGCTTGCCTCGACCCGAGCCGTCGCCTGAGCCCCGAGGACCCCAAGCCACAGCACTGTGTAGTTTGATCCTTTTTTGAAACTCCCACTCGCCTCCCAGAAGTGCTACCTTGTATCTCAGGTTAATCGGCCTTTTCGTGTTGGTGCCGGCTGCGATGATCGAGAACATAAACCATGCGGAAAGGGCAGGGGACCTAGCGGGCGGGGGGGCGGGGGGCTGTGGTTCTGCGTGGTTCCGTTGACTATCGGCTTCATCACTGCAGCTGCCAGGTAGTATATGCTATACCACCAATGCTGATGGCCACGGTGCTGGACATCTACTTTGCATCTCGTCCGAAGGTTTCATTACGTCCCTTCCCCAGGTAAGATATTGCGGTAATGCTTCCATCTGCTGGCTTCAGTTTCGGATTTCGGAGGTTCGAAAGGCCGAGGATCCTGCACCGCGGTGCAGTCGCCCTGCTACATTCCAACATGGGTATGTGCTGCCTGCTTCTTTGGTGCCCAGATGACAAGCTGACCAGACATATCAGGACCATCGTGGCTGGACTGTTCCCTTCTGTGCTAGTAGCTGCTAGTACCAGGCAGTTTGGATCATGCCGGCCAGCCCAAAGTTCTGCCTCTGCTTCTCTACTCTGCTGCACGATGTCAGTCGCGCTTTCACCAGGCATACGTCGTGTGGTCTCGGAAGTTGCAGCTGGAGGGATCCGAAGGAAATGCACTGAGCAGTGCATAGCCAAAACGGTTGCTCTGCGTCAGTGCTTGTCTATTCGATCGGGCTACGAGCGAATTGGCACTGCTCTTCACATCAGTATCACTAGCATCACCACCTTTACTGTAAATAGCATGTGCATAGTGATGGAGGTGTTTCTCTTGTTGTGTTTTGCAGGATTCGAAATGTGTTTGCCCATACTGCAACCTGTTGTTCTTGTAGCTCGTTCTGTGCATCCAGATGAGCTCGGCCCGAGTTTGAAGAGACGAAAGATCTCCAAACAGGTGCTTCTGTGAGGCCGAGCAAAGCCTCAAGGCACTCACCCCCCAACATGGAGGTTGGAGCACGCGCGTCGATTATGTGGCAACAACAGAATGCCTTTTGAGCCGTTCTCGAAATAGCGACATGACTTTCGTGGCTCTGTTGAAAGCCCGTGTGAGAATAACGGCTGCCGTGGCAACGTGGTCTGCGCGAGATTAGCAAAACCAGTAGAACATCGGGTGCTGCTAGCTCTTTCTCAAAAGCCCTTCAGCATAGATGTGTGGCATGCAAGATGTGTAAGTACGAGCATTCCAGACATAATATGCTTTCTACAACGTCCTTACACCGGAAAACCACCGAGGCTTCCGCGACACCGTTGCACATCATCATACAATCCAAGCTATGTGCGCGTAGTTTTGCAGATGAAGCAATAGATGCAGTACAAGTATCAGTGTCGTTGTACGGGAGAAGTTCGGATAGGATTAGACTAGGAAGATTGTCACACTGTACCTTAGCAGCCTTAGCAGCGGTGGATGCCATGACTTGTCATGGACAAGGTTGGCAGGAAGCTTTTGCGCAGCTTCGTTCCCCTCGTTCAGCGCTGTCCCGTGTCCACCCAGTTTGGCCACACCTGTGCGCTGACACGAGAGGGTCGGCTGCTGTGTTGGGGATCCAATACCTACGGGCAGTGCAACGTGGCTCACCTTGGCCGAGTGAGGACTGTTTCCGCTGGCCGCACCCACACCTGTGCCGTGAACGAAGCTTCCGAGCTGATGTGTTTCGGAGACAACAGAAATGGGCAATGCAACGTGCCAATAGGGTTAGGTTCTGTGGTGGACGTGTCCGCTGGCTTCCTGCACACCTGCGCGGTCACAGCAGATCGTCGCATGGTTTGTTTCGGCTGCAATGCGCACGGCCAATGCAACGTGCCGCGCCCACTGTCCACAGACATTGCTTTCGTTTCAGCTGGCCGTAGCCATACTTGTGCTGTGACAGTTTCAGGCCATCTCGCATGCTTCGGATCTAACTCCGATGGCCAATGTCCGAAATTTTCAAGCGGTTACGCATCTGTGTCTTCCGGTTCGTTCCATACCTGTGCTGTGCGCTTGAACGGCAAGCTGGAATGCTTTGGTGCCAATACTCACGGCCAGTGCGATGTGCCTCCAAACTTGGGTCCGGTGATTTCAGTATCAACTGGACGTGATCACACGTGCGCGGTACAGCTCGATGGTCAGCTGGTTTGTTTCGGAAGAGATTCAGACCGTGGAGAATGCGACGTGCCTCCCAACTTAGGCCCCGTTCTCGGAGTGGCTACTGGAATCTATCATACCTGTGCCTTGAGCAGCAACGGCAAGCTGATTTGCTTCGGCTGTGACGGATATGGTCAGTGTGACCACGATTGGCAGGCAGATGCTATTTTTTGAATGCTCCACCGCGCGCTCCGACCAGCTGCAGCCGTGGAACTCTGCGACACAAAACACAACGCCTGCTGAATGCTTTCGATTGCAAGTCTTCGTATACATCGAGGAATTTGTGGACTGGAAACTAATCTAGGTTTTGGTGAGGCACACAAGGAGTGCAAGTAGCATAAAGAGGTGTGCAGTCCTCCTTGTGGCACCAATTGTGTCAAGTGACCTTCACTTGAAGTCTGGTGTTTGATGCCCTTGTCCGGGGCACGCTGACTCCTCAACGTCCCGCAAGCATCGCCAGTTAGTCACGAACTCCGAACATATCTATACACTACCATAAATATAATTTATATACTGATACTGTTGCATGCGCATGTAGCTTATGTTGTGTCTAAGCATGTGCAAGTATGCATGCTGCATGTATGTGTGTATGTGTGCGTGTGTATGCATGTGTGTATGCATGTATTTTGTATGTAGCTTTGCGGTATGCATATATGCATATCGTTGTACGTGTATGTATGTCTGTATGTATGCATGCATGCATGCATGTATGTATGTACATATAAATATAAATGCACATTAAGATGTACATACATACGTCCATACACCCATTCATACATACGTACGTACATACGTACATGCCTGCCTGCATGCATGAATGCGCACACATACACAATATATATATACACATATATATATATATACATATATATATATATGTATATATACAGTTTCTATACAGGTATGAAACTCTGTGTATGTGATCCATGAGTCCATGGACCCCCAATCTTATGGAGAGTGCAGAGGGGTAAAGCTCACGGGCTCAGGGCGCCACGGAGGATGCGAAGCAGCAGTGTGAGCACGGTTTCAGGACCTTGCTGTTCCAACGAGTGCGATCCGCGATTCAACCACTAACTAACTCCACCTTTGCCCATCCGGGGTTCTTTTAGTTGCAGGCCATTTTCCGTCGTTATCAGACCGGAGGTTGTGCACAACAATGCAGACGTTGCCCATGACAACTACGACGGCCGTAGCAGTGTAGCAGCCATCCGGTGACCACGCTGGAGCTCTCCTCCTCCCTGCGAACAGGCCTAGCAATCGACAATAAGTTAGCTACAATGTTGATAGGATCTCACAAGGCGGAGAAGCCTTCTAGAAGTACTTGTAGTCATGTTGGAGTCCCAAATCCATAAAACATACTATGTTATGATAACGTATACTATACTATAACTATACTATACTATACTATACTATACTATACTACACTATAACTGTACTATACTGTACTATACTATACTATACTATAATTATACTATACTATAATTATACTATACTATACTATAATTATACGAAATTATAGTCCGCCGGCTCCGCCAGGATGAGGTTCGGCATTGACTCGGCAGAGCTTCGCTTGGGGGAGGCCACGAGCACTGCACAGAGACTTCTGTCGGCAGCTCAGCAGGGCCGTGTAGCTTCGCATTTATTATTAGTACAATTATTATTTTTACTATGATTATTGTCATTATTGTTATTATTGTTATTTTTTTAGTATCTACTATTATTATTTTTATTATTTTTCATTACTATTATTTTTGTTATTATTGACTTGTTGCGCGTGACCTGCTTTTGGGATTTGGCGCTGACTACCATCTACAGGACAAACAGCAACCTTCAACCACAGCGCAAAGGGGAGTTTCCATGAGATGGGAGGTGTTACTACGCGAAGACGACGGATACATGCAATTCTGGGTTGACCGGGTCAAAAGTAAGAGTTTAGGGCTGAGGGTCTGCTTCAGATGTGCGCAGTGGCTGGAGTTATTTGTCATGGGCCCTTTCGCACTATGTGGATTCTGCAGATATGCATGGCATGCTGTATGGTTACCACGTACTCAGTTCCAGAGATCTTAACAACACAAGTCCCGTAGAGCCAGTAGAGACTAGGTTCCAAATGCGGCAGCGGGCGATCCACAATCCGCTCGAAACTTAGATTTCGAATGGTACACTATGCAGGTAAGCTCAGATAATTTAAGACCACCTTCTTCTACCCGTGCTCAGGTTTGTGCTAATTCCTTCGATCAACTCTGCAACAAGCTTTGGCCGTTATAAGCCGTCAAGCCGAATCCCTACGATAGCGTCTGCGTGGAGCCAATTCGGCAGCCTCGAAGAAGACCCTGAAGTTGGTTTAGAGAGCAGAGACGAAACCGCTGGCAAGTGCCCGCACCTTGCGTGTCGCTGCTACAGAAGACTTGCTTGATATCAGTTTCGGGTTGAAACCGACGAAGAGTTCTCAACTAAAGAAAGTTATGAACCTTTAGCTCATGTTTCAACATGCATCTTCACGAACATTTGGCCGGTGCTACAGTCTCCGTTGCTTATGTAAAAAGGGTTTCAGCGGCTGACAAAAAGAAGTTCTTCGTGAGCTTCTTGTCATGATGCTGTGATAGATGCTTGACCTTGTATGTCTCGAATTCCGAAGTAGCCCATGCGATGACATCAAAAGGATAGACATGCCCAAACCAATCTGGCCTTCGCAGAACGGGCTTCAGATGAAGGTGCTGCTTTGTGGCACGTTGGGTGGTGAGGGGCTATTGAGATGTGCGTAGTGCGGCTTCGGGCCGTACCTGGCCGAAAGGCAGTTGCATTTGACCCTTCATGTCGCAGCATGCGAGCGCACCAATCAGAATCAGAACAAGAACAGATGATAAGCAACTACTCTCCGCTGGTGGTGCTACGTTGTCGAAGCTTTTATAGTCAATCACAAACGTCCTTGTCCTCGCATGTGCCACCGCATTTTGTGGTTGTAGGGGTGTTCAAGGAATGTGTAAACCACGGGGCTGTTAACAGTAGAAAGTTTTCAACAACATAGACTACAGACCAACCCCGGATTCGACTTGAAGCCCAGAAGCATGGGAAAAGTGCGCATTTCGCACTGCTTGCATTGCCAAGTGCAAGAGCGGAAATATCAGCATTATCATGCGAACCATGTGTCATGTGACTTCGAACAAGCCCGTCTCGGAATCCTGCCTTTCAGGTGTGTGCGAAAGTATGTTTTATCGTCCCCTGTGCTGCTATTTGCTGTAGCTTACAATCCTCCTCCAAACTTGTGCCAGCTTTTATCGAGGCGACTACTCTCCAGCTGAGCGCGCACAATTCGTGCTGCGGCAGGCTGTCCAGTGTGTGGCTCTCTGTGGAGCAGCCGATATTTCGATGTACTGTTATTGGGAAGCTCGGTCTGCATTATTTAGAATCATAGAATCAATCCTTCAGCTCGAATGTGGGGGTGGCGGAAGTAAATTTCACGGGGCAGTACGAACTGGCCAATGCGAAGGTTCCGGGAGATGATAGCACTGCTCCGAGCTTTCCACACATGACCAGTCGGAGTTTTTCGTTTGCTGACATTTGCTGACGGCGGAGTCGAAAATGGTCCCGGTCATAGGAGTTGCTCCGAGTCCTGTGTAGCACTCTGACCGCACATTCCCCGATCTGCACACATCCATGGAGAGCAAGATATCCCATGTGTTGAGCTTACGACAGTCTTGTGCACAAGTTGTGCGTGGTGGTCGCCGGCAAGAAATCCCCTGGGCTCAGCGGCTATAGTAAGATTTGCCTGCTAAACTTCGATTTGGATGAGTAAACCACACGATGTAGACACAGACACATACACGGTTGCTTGTCTTGCAGAAGCCATTGAATATATATATATATATGTATATGTGGCTGTGCATGCAGACTGATGAAGTACATCTTAGCTTGCCCGCGTGAGAGACGGAGGGAATTCGGGAGAAAGGACGCGGGGTTAGAAACTTGTTGTTGTACAACCTTCTCTGGCGCTGCTAGCGGCACTGGCGTGGGGAGCTGCAAGTCTTTTCGGACACACCCAGCTTGTGCCAGCATGTCGGAGCATGACAGCCTCGATGAAGGACGGAGGGCTGCTGCTGCCTGTAACAGCACGTCGAGCTAGATTTCCGTTGCTTTCGGCTTGCATTGGTAACTATGTAATTGGAGTCTTCCCTGCCATGAGCATGAGCAGGGAAGGTGCTGCTCAACCGTTTCTACGTAGCGCTTTTCACCGGCCCAGCATACCGGATGGAGTTCGAGGCTCGAAAGGCTGAGGCTGCGATTGGGGGGCGAAAATCAGAGATCAAGGTCGGTTGATATATATATATATATATACATACATATATATATATATAAATGTATATATATATATATATAGATATATATAGAGGTTGCTGGGACCTGTATGTATGCTTTGGATCTTCGCCTTGGGATCGGGAGATGTCGGCCGTAGACTGGCTGGCAAACCAAAACCACAGAGGAACGGAGCAGCGAGATGCATTAGCTGTCGGTTGGGAGATTCTCCGACATCGCTCTTTTCCTACATCTCCAAAGTGTAGCTCTGTATCTGCTCTTCACAAGGCTCTGCAGTATCGCCTGTTGGAGTGAGACATTCATTCCTTACAACAAGATGCGACTTTAGGCGGCTCAGTCCTTCGTGACGTCTTTTGCACTTTCAAACGCAGCAGCCTGTAGGGAATCCGTGCTGTCCGAGTCATTGATTCCTTTCACTCCTACTGACAGTACAGCTTTCAAGGAGACCTCAGAGATCTGGTGCAGACGGCTCTGGCCGAATCTCGGCTGAGATGTGGATTTTCTTCAATCTATTCTGGGGTGCTTGCCTGATATTTTGGGTCTATGTTTGGGTCCTTTGTTTTGTGATCTGAGTTGTTGACCTTGAGGTAAGTGCTCGAACAGGATGCTGACGGCATCATGGCGGGGGGGGGGGGAAATCGTAGGCACATGTGGGGTAAAGACGGGCATGAATACTCGCGTGAGAGCACAGTCGGGTGGCCGCTGCCACAGAATGACATGATGGTTGAATCTGGAGCACCAGCTCCAACCGCAAAATCAGATTCTCGTCTCCGAGAGCATTTGCATTGGTTGCGGCATCGCTAACGCTAAACGGAGGCCTTTTGTCGAAGAGCACCTATGACA